ATTAAACATATTTGCAATATTTACAAAAGCTGCTGATTGCTGCTGCTGTTGATAATCATTCATCATCATTGAATAATTCATAGAATTGTTTTCATTTCTTTGAGAGGAAAATATCAACGAAGAACCAGCAGTCGATTGATAAGGAACCGATCTATACCTATTTTGCTTATTATTATTTACATTAAAATTATTATTACTATTATTCATCACCATCATCATATTATTACTACTACTATCAAATCCAGATGATACTAAATTATTATTATTATTATGATGATTACTATTATTTACAAGAGTTGTATCATTGTCATGATGGAGATGATAATTTAACGAAGGGTTTTCATTCTTTTTTCGGATTACAACCGATTGTTCATCTCTGGTTTTTTCATAACAACAAACGTAGCCTCTTTTTGTGCAGTAGGAACAGGACGGAAGAAGTTTATCACATTTTCTGTGGAGTTTTCTGCAGGATTGGCAAGTGGTTGAAGAGCAGGAGGGAAGAGGTTCGGATGGTGGTGAAGATTGAAATGATTGCATTTTTTTTTGAAATTTTTTGATTTTTCAAAGTTTTTTAAAATAGAACAAATTGACTAAAAAGGAAATTTATAAAAATCCAATTATTTTTTTATTAATTTTTTACAATATTGATTATATTATAATCTATTGTGAATAAATTGTGATTAAAGATATTGTTCCAATGGTTGTAAACTTTTCAATTCTAGCATATTTTTAGTATGAGCACAAATGTACATTTTCGGTCTGTTAATACTTTCAGAAAATTTTGCATTAACAATGTAGAGAGTGGAATCATCGAATTAGGTAGGGAGGATTAGTCTCAGATTCGGCCACCAATTCGAAACTGTATTTTGTGCATTTAGAGTTGAGTTCATTGAGTAATGTTTGAATATCATAACATCCAGATCCATAATTTTGAGTAACAATTATTGGAACTCGAATTCTATTGAGCCTTCCTTATTGGGAAGTTTCGAATTTTCATTTTCGGATGAAGATTTGAAACGCCAATATCTTTCCACCAAATCTCTACCAACTCCCCACAATATCCAAAATAAAATGTTGCTTAATCCAATGACAATTCATCTTTTTGCCAAACATGTCGGATAATTCCTGAGACGAAACCAAAACTAATTCGTTATTATGAGACAGCTCACTTGAAACAACAATACTTGAAACCTGTTCACCAATAGAAACTTCAGATTGGGCCAATTCAATACTTTCAATATTGGAAACCGCTTCTTTGAATTGGACTACGTGAGTGCACAGTATTGCAAGCCCACAAAGAAAGCCACCAAATACCTGGCGATGTGTTCTAGCATTTTGTTTTGATAAATTTAAAATCACGTTTTTGGATTCTTAATGAGAAAGGTAGTCTCGATTCGAATAGTTTTTAATTTACGTTTTACATAAGTCAAAAATAAAATCTCGTTTTGTAAACATCCAATTGTAAAACTAAATATAATAATGGAATAACAAAATTCCACAACAAACACTCTATTCGTACATAGTTTAAAGAACATATTGAATCTTGTTCGTAAATAGCGTAATTTCATTGTGAATGTAAGGGGA